CAAACAAATCACAAACTGAAGCCTCAATATTTCTTACCCCAAGAAGAAGGTACTTACAGGACATTAAACTATACAAGTTAAATTAAACTCCCTAAAAATCAATATTTCCAGCAGTTATAAAACTGTTAAGAGGCAATATGGCAAAAATTATTTCAAATTCGACAAAGTAATGGAATGTGATCGATTAAAATTGAAATGGTATCTAAACAGAAGGTCAACACGAAGTTAGATCTTTAATATAAACAAAAGCATATTCACTACCAATAATGAAAAGATAACAATTTTAAGTGGTGAATCCTGTAATCTATGAAACAATTCTCTGACAATTAGAATATGGCATTACTGCTATTATATCACGTGAACCCCTTTGTTGGCTTCCCTAAAATATGAACCACTTCAAAGAATCAAAAAGAATTGTGGATATGCCAAAACTGGGATAACATTTTAATCCAATTTAATAATACATTCTTGCACTGCATCCATATAGTACATAAAACGATCGGCCAAAGAAATAACTCAAGTCTAATTCCTTTTGCAAAATAAAATAGCAAGACAGCATCTACACCATGATATTATGCTGTAATCATAAAGTAGAGAGCAACAAGTTTAAAATTTTCAAATACACCCTGCAGGGATTTCGGCAGTGAGCTCTCCACTCCCCAGCCCACTCAGTCCCGATGCTAGCATGTAGAAGCTAAATTAAATAGTACACAGGCAAAAAACCCTAGTCGAGTGAACTGTTCACAGCTGAAATATACTTACCAATCCAATTACAGCAGAAATCACAATGGCAGCCAGAGCACACTGCAAAATGATACATAGTGGAGGCAGAAAATTTCATTACCACGAAATGAGGATCAGAAAATATCTTATCATAATAAACAATAAAACCAGTTAAACATCAATGAAAGAAAGAAACAGAGCTCTAGCTACAACTACAAGCTGTCATCACAAATTAGCAAGCTATAAGTTCTGTAGATGTTGCCAGCATCACTGAAATGTAAATGGAGGAACAGAAATCATTACAGAATATTATGTGCTATGAATGGGTTGGGAAAAATAGTGCTCATGGAAGCCCAGAATTAAAAAGCAGGACACCAAAAAATTGTCTAATTTGCTAAAGATATAGGGTTATGGCACCAGTTTAGCAATTGTATCCACCAAAGAAGATAACATTAGCACTATGTAGAGCATGGGTGCATTTTAACCTGGGGAATGTATTCAAATAATGGAGTAAGGAACTGTAGTGCACAGCCCATTATAATTCCCATTATAATCCCAGATAAACCAGTTTTAGCTCCACTTTCATGATTCACGGCAGACCTAGAGAATGATCCTGCGTGAGTCATTATTAAAAAAGAAGACATGTTAGAAGCTGGCTCTGGAAGTAACAGTGTCATGTGCTAACGTCATTACCAACTTATATGTATCCGTTTGATGATGTCATAAGAGAAATCATAAAGTAAACTGTTGGCTAGCAACTAAAACCAACCTGTTGTAGGGTATGCTGAAAAGAATGATCCAAAAATATTTGCCACACCAAGACCAAACAACTGTTAGAAGACAAACAACACGTCTATAAAATAGTGAATCAATTATAGTTCTCTTTTCCAAATCTAGCACAATTTGCAAGAGAGTACCAAGAAAATAATGTACCATATTGCAATGTTAAGCTTTTTACATTATATAACTAACTGGCTGTTTATATCATCATCATAAACCTATAAAAATCATTCTTCCACCTTAAGAAATCATATTATCTAAAGGAGCCAGACGACAGTCAATGGCTTATCAAAATAACATTAAGGGGAAGTTTACACATCCCATATTGTGCAAAAGGAATAGCAAACATTAGATGCAGGCTACTATGAATTAAATACAAGGTCTAGGATAACGAAATAGTTGTTTCGTGTTAAGCTGATACTTGACACGAGTACACATAAATGCAGTTATCATAGTTAAGACAATTTCAAACTTTGGAAAACGAACCTCTCGATTTGAATCCAACTCATATCCATTCTTAGCTGCCAGTGCTTTGGCAATTCCTACAGATTCCTATTTTCCAAAAGTATGTGGTTAAGTCAAATGTTCTATACCAAAAAAATAAAAGGGGACATGATATTAAAAGAAAATGAATAAATTTTCTCTCACCAAAATCGCCACACCAGTAATGAGCATTGCTGTTGGAATCAAAGATTTTATGTGCCCAAATTCCTTAGGGACAGAAAATTTAGGTAGCCCTTGAGGTATTTCTCCAACCTAAAATAGCAGTTGAAAAATTGTTAAGTGCTGACTATAATTGTGCCACAGTCAGATACTCGGTCATGAACAATTCAGGATAATAATAATTAATTGCTGCTCTATACGATGCTTTTTTCGCTGTTTATTAATCCAAGTTATTCTCACCAATGTAATTGAAGATGGATGATAAATTGTCACAAAGGTTGTACCCAAAACAACGGCAGTAAGGGGACCAGCTGCTCGCAGAAAACGCAAACATTTCCTTGATTTTCCCTGTGACCAGAACCAACCAAAGCATGTACAATTTAAAGAGGTATAAAAACAGAAAACCACATACTCAATAGCCAACTGAACTCATACCAGGTGCTTCATTGTTAGAATAATAGCAAGAATAATAGAACCCATAACAAAAGGAGGCCACGAAAACTACAAAAGTAAAGACAATCAGTCATTAGAACATCAAAAGTCACTTAAATTTAGAAACAGTTAGAGAGACAGGAAAAACAGATGAACGTATAAAGGAACAATCATCCAAGGACAATATCTATGTACTGAAACCTGAAGAAGAATATAGATTGTACTTCACAAACGACAATTACAAGAAATCATAATATATAAATTTCATCTTGTATTGTTTCACATTGAAAAGGAGTAGGATAAAATTCCACCAATGCTGTATAAATAGAGCCATCTCAGATTAATCTCTTTTAATTATGAAATTTGTAAGTATATTTGCTGCAGTCAATAAAAACTATAATATACAATAAATCTGAAGCACGTTTGTGAAATTGGCTTGATCACTTATGCTGTTACTTAGTTTTTCAGAAAAAATACAGTCCGCAAACTCTGCATCTTAGTTTATATGGTAGTGTTTATGCTGTCTCACATTAAATTTTGCTTGTCTGTGTTTCTTGTGTCCTTTTTATATCAATACATGATTGGGATGGCGACATTAAATGTTACTCATCAACATCATATGGACAGACATGGTATGACATAAACATACATGCATAATGGTGATGAAGATAGAGACCTGATAATTTGACACGACAATCATTTGAATACCTCATAAAATAGAAGAATTTCTACAGATAACTAACGTGCAATACATCGATTGAATTTAATTTATTGAGGAAGACAAAGTTACACATCAGAAACCCTTGATTGAAAAAATAATCACGACTCGTTGCAACAATATAAGGTAACGCAGGAGACAAATAGAGTAATTTTCAAAAAGCATTTACTTCATTGGAATACATGGCATACCTTATCTGCTCCTGAAATTATGCTCTTGACCAGCGGAATAATTTTGCTACTTCTTGTTATATCATATCCCAAGAAATATTTTGCCTGAGACAAGGCAATTACAATGGCTGAAGCAGTCGTAAAACCAGAAATCACAGAATGGCTGATGAACCGAATAAGCCATCCAAGCCTAGATGGGGAAAAAATAAAATGTAAGAGCTTTATTTGAATAAAATCTGTTGAAAAATAGAGTTAGGAAATAAAAAATAAGAATTTCAGGTGGCTGCAAACAATGAATGATATCAGGTTTTTGACAATTTTGTTTTCATGGACATATGTTCATGCCCAGAGACTTCCGTTCAGAGACATCACAAGGGTTAGTTTGAACATCTAGTGACATTGGGAGGCAGCTTTTCAGAAGGGATTCCTTCACTAGGAAATCAGACTATTCTACCTCTGGTGACTGACTGACTGACTCATAAAAGGATCACTATTTGTTCTAAATAATTGTTTGCAACAGTTTCAGAATTGTAACTGAGAAAACCAAAATCCAAGTTCAGTATTTCAAATACAGCTGAATTTCATAGTTCTCATCTAGTGACATTGGGAGGCAGCTTTTCAGAAGGGATTCCTTCACTAGGAAATCAGACTATTCTACCTCTGGTGACTGACTGACTGACTCATAAAAGGATCACTATTTGTTCTAAATAATTGTTTGCAACAGTTTCAGAATTGTAACTGAGAAAACCAAAATCCAAGTTCAGTATTTCAAATACAGCTGAATTTCATAGTTCTCATATTTGTCCTGCTTATCTATATACATTTTATAAATGACTGAATCAGACATCTTCATACTGAATGTACTGTCTCAGCATTCAAGTATAAATATAAAATGTACACGAAACATTTGATTCCCTTCACATTGAATGGTAAATTTCAACATATAAGAGAACATGCAAATTTGAGTGAAAAACACCTTAAAATCCCCATTATGCATTCAAATACGCCAACCATAAGTGCCAACAATATTGCAAGCTCTGTGTACAATGCCTCTGATGAGTCAACTATGCTGCCCAAGACATTAGAGACCAGAAGGGAAGTCAACGCCACAGGACCGATTGCAAGCTGGCGAGATGAGCCAAATAAAGCATACACAAATATAGGAACAAAACCAGAATCTGCATTGTAAAATCCAAATAAGGACGACCCAATTCCATAATCAATAAAGTAAATGACAGAGCATTTTATTATAAGTATTGCAGGAAAATAATCATGTAAGACTCTAACTTAAAAGCATCTTCAGAATATATCCGTGATAATATCATCACAGTACATTATGACTAGTTGGTAAGGTAGATTAGATGGCACTTCGAAGTGCAAAATAAGGGGAAAAAGTTTAAATTTTACCAATGGTACTGTCCAGCCATCTAATACTAATACTGCTTAACAAACGTGTACAAAAAGAACAATAACGAGGTAAAACTCACAAAGTCCGTATATTGGTTGAAGCCCAGCTAGCTTTGCGTAAGACATGGACTGATTGGCACATGAAAAGCAACCGATGTTATACATGGAAAGTTGGATAAAAAATCCAATTATTTATGAATATTAGATGTGTATATGCGTGAACACGTATATACATATATACACACCTGAGGAACAAGCATGACGCCGACAGTGACCCCGGCCATAAGATCCGGCTGTAAATACTCCCGCCATCTGTAGGTACTAATCCAACGGTAACATGGCAAGAAAAATTCAATCCATTCCATCCACGTCATCCGCTTCACCTTTGCACTCCATCTGGTCAAAACACCAGAAAATGAAGATGAAGACGACGTCGCTGTAGTGGTGGAAGGATGCTGCAAAGGAATGATTTTGACGGGTCGGGTCGTTGTTCCAGACATCGAATTGAAACTGCTGAGTTCACCGGAACTAGGAGAGGCATAGGTGTTCTCCATGCAGTTTGAGGAGAAGAAATTTGGCCTCAGCCGCCTTGGACCGCGGCGGCGGTCAGGCTGTGCGTGCTGAGATTTGAGGCTCACGCTCCTTCGAAGGACCCGAGGCGTGGGGGCGGTGGACGCTGAATTGGTTCCTTACAAATAAACTTAGGATTCCGCGGTGGCGAATAATACCAAAACTTACAAATAAATGAATAATAGATAGATAATCTAAAAGTATAAATGTTAAAAGTAAGGTAAGCACCTAATTGATATTCCTAAAAATATATATATAAGTTAAAGTTAATAATTAATTTCAGGTACACAATTCATAATATTCACAATTTTTTAATTACAAATTCCATCAAATTTTAACAAAATCTCAAAATAAATAAATAAATTTAATTTTAATCTCTATCAAACAAGGGCTAATTTTATTTTTGAAAACTCGAGTTGAAGAAAAAAATTGATATTAAGTACACAATTAAAGAAGATCACAAAGTTAAGACGTGTACGATATTAAAAAATATCGTACTCCACAAACACCCAACTTCCATATCGCCCTTATTTGGGTAAAGATTTCTTTCTTCCACCCTATAGTCGATTTTAGCGAGTTTTGCTCCGAAAATCATATTTATTTTCGAATTTGCTTTCATCTATTAATTTTCGACCCACCTTTTCCTCCTACACGACATGACATACGCGAAATGACTTTTCAATTTTAGTATAATAATAATAATTGATTCCACCACATATCCTGTATTTGGACATTAACGTGACCAAGTTCATTAGAATCAATGAGAGAGAAACGTGCACTGACCAATTTGTTTGAAATCTCTTTCGTGAGTGGTTGGGACATCTCATTAGAAATTAGAATAATAGAAAATGTTGGGATGTCCCAAATTTGTAAAATAGAATAAAATGGTAAAATTATGATTGATGTTAAGTTGAGGAACAAAAGTTATAATTTCCTCTAAAGTCTTAATTAAGCAAATATGAAACGGATTGGAGGCAGATGCGGCGACGAGGGAGAGAATAATTAGAAGGAAAAACAAAATAAATGACGAAAAGAAATCATTGTATAACAGATTTAGGGTAAAATCAAATCTCGCCATAAAGTTGTGGGCTCATGTTACAGTTGCTTTAAATTATAATTTAAAATCGTAGGTATACTTTTAAAAAAAGGTTGAACCTACATTGTGTTAGATTCAAAATTACTACTTGCTCAATCAACATATTTCGTGTTGACCACTGATCTTCGAGCTCACTTAAAATGTAGTCATCACCTATCTCATATACACTCTAAATCGTGTTTATAAGATCAGCTCGATCTTGCCAATATTGTAATTTCAAGAAATATAATGATTACATATTCTTTACACCTTTATCAATTCACCCAATCAATTAGACACGCTTAAAAAAAGTGACGTCAACATCGCCCAAACTCATCACTTATCTACTATAACTAATTATCCTGAAGTAGGTCATGTCATAGTAATGGCAACGGGGCAGGAGCGCCCCAAACTACCGCCCCACTCCGCCTTAGACAGTGCGGGGATGGGGCAACTCTTTGCCCTGTTTGTTGTTCAATTTAATTTTTTTATTTTTTCTTACATTTTCAAAGTTTCGAATTATGTTATTATTAGAGAATAAAATATAAATTCAAAATAGATTTTTAAAGAGTAAATAGTCTAGAAAAAAATTTTAATTTTATTTCTATTTTTATTTTTTTCTTCACGGGGCGGGGCATTCTCGCCCTGCCCCCCGCCAACCCATTCGGGGCGAGAGTTTTTGCCATCCCTAGGTCATAATTTCCCCGATATTATTATGTTTGATGGGGGCGTACCTCGTTAGCCAATATTTCAACTTGCTTTCCACATAGACGGCAACACATAAAATATATTACAGATGCTCTTCGGCTCCCAACATTGAATTCTAAACATTTTAGCTTTGTGCAGAGAGAAAAAAGGCCAAAAATAATTTAAAAAAATTAAAAAAAATTGCATTCTGAGATTTTTTTAGTTAATTAACTTTCCTTCTAATACAGTCTTCGTCAATTTGCCAAACCTCGTTTTCATTTACTTTTCATTTCCGTTGTGTTCTGTTTAGTGTTTACAGTGCGAACAATTGAACTGATTGAAAGCTAAATCGAATTACGCCTACCGAACCCTAGTCAAATCAATCACGATCCACCAATTCCGGGGTCCAATTAACCTCCCATAAATAGCTTGGGCTTCTTATTGGGTTTAAACTTGTTAGGCAGTTGTCAATCCAATACAGCAGCAACACAGTCTTGTACAAGACAGGATGTGGAGGGCCTCGTATTTTTGAACAGAGTGGTCTCTCTCTCTCTATAATGAACTTAAATAGTAACTTTGATCTTTCATTCTTGTCTACATCTCATGGTATACAAGTGATTCTAGTATATACCATAAATCTCAGCTTGAGAAGATACTACACTTTGAGAAACGGCATGTAATGATGAACAAGAAAAGAGTACCGAGTATCATTTTATGTATTTATAGCGATGATATTTCTTGAAACAACAAAATATAATTCAGACAGACTCGACCCCAAATGAAGTACTTTCAAATGGGTTTCGGATTTTTTTTCTCTGTGTGGTCGAGACACACGAACTTTGCCCAACTCGATCTCAAATTAGGGTTAGTATTTCAAATAATTTTCAACTCAATCTCATCAAGATTATTCAACCGTGGGCAGAAAGAGACTTGTAAATTGAATACAGAACATTAATCCCCATTCTCATGCAAAGGTAGGAAACTGCCGCAAGGAAAGAACTCCCAAGGGTATTTCCTGAATCAAAGGACTCATAATTTAGCAGGATTTCATTGAATCAATACTCACAGTACATTCAAAGAACAAATGTTGCCAGTTTATAGCAAAGTTATTTTAAATTAGCATACGCCACTTCCCCGTCTTCACAATATTGTTTTCTTTGTCAAAAACGAGGACTTGACATCTTTAAAATCTAGAACCTTTGATACAGACATCATGTGGTCTACTTAGAACACCATTGATATGTTGATTTTGGCCATTCTCGAAAGGTCCAGATGACGTGGTTGAATAGTTTACTAAAACTTATACGTGACAGTAATAACAGATGGCAGCGGAAGAGACTATATTACCTTCAAGTTACAGATGCGCTTGTGCATGTTCAGGCTTATGAGTATACTCGTAATCGAGATGAACAAAAGCACGCTCTATCTCGGGCAGAACTTCAAGCTTCTCTTGCAAGGATTCTCCAATGTCATGAGCTTCTTGCAGGGGCATGTCCGCTGGCAACACAATATCCACTTCGACGAAATAATGAGAGCCAAAGGTGTATGCCCTTACAGTGTCGATGTGCCTTATGGATTTGTGGTGATTCCAGCATAGGTAGGTGAGTTTCTGTAGATATTCCGGTGCAGCTGATCTTCCAATAAGGGAGTTCACGTTCTCCAGCACAGTTAATGACCATGTTCGGATAGTGTACAATGACAGCTGGAAAAGGTAGTAAGATTATAGTGTGTCACAAATAAAGAAACTGAAGAAGAAAAAGGCAATGACCTAAGTTTTACGGAGTCGAGCAAAAGAGAAATTAGAGTGAAATAATTTTACTTACAATAATAGCTCCAACAGGGTCCATCCAATCATTGAAATAGTTAGCCATTACTACAGCAACGAGGCCAATGATGTTCGTGATAACATCAAAAAAGTGATCCTGGGCATATGCCTTGACAATCTCATTTGCAAAGGTGCGGCAATAGACGAACAGAAGTAGTTTCACCAGAGTTACTGAAAGCATAATACCAATGACCCATCGCTCTTGCTCCTTTGTCAAATTGAATTCGTCATCCTGCACAAGCTCTTTGATAAAATGCTTAGAGACAAGAAATGAAGAGTCCGCATTTAAAGAACCCCTCCTCAATTCTCTAAGTACCATGTTGATTCAGGTAGGGATCACTTACATCAGAAACTAATGTGCGCAGGGATTCCAGTATAATCTGCAGTCCTAAGGTTGCCATGACAGAAGCGAAAACAAGGATTCCCTACACATCATTTATTCAATGTAGATTTCTTACAATTAAACAATAATACAGCACACATAACACAGTAATTCCAACGACAAAAATAATTTGAAGCTCTTATTTGCCTTCAAACCACAGAAACAGAAAACCAAACCTTGATATAAAGAAAATGCAGTTTTACGTTATTTACAAAATATTTTGCAGTATTCGGGAAATATATTTAGGCAAAGTTAAGGTACATGGTGGATGAATTACTGTTTCTATTAAAGAACCACTATAGAGAACTGGTTATCCTTTGACAATTGATCTAGTAAAAATTATCATTCAGCCGAAATAGAGGAGGAATTTGATGACCCTTGGTATTGCAAAAGATAAATGATCTCCATTGCATTGCAAGCACACAGGAAGTAATATTTACTCCTACCCATTAAATTCTTTTACATGACTGTGACATCTCTTTTGCCCAGCCTAAATGCATCTCCTGGGATGTTATTCTGTTATGTCAGATGTCCCAGGAGTTCAGCAATTGCATTTCTTAATACATTAAAGTAGGCATCCATGATCCCAAAATTACAAATGTTTGGGTCAATCTATGCAACCATAAAACCACCTAAAGAGGTGCAAAAACTGATTCACTGTTACAAACCAAACTGCAATAGTCCAGTGTCCACTTGTAATATTCCCCGCAGAATCTTGCACCACCAAATTGAAAGGATAGCAAGTAAAGCCATATGACAATCCATTCTAGCAGATGACAGGACGAGCATTAAAGAGGCCTGACAAAACTGCTGGCTGGCTAACTGACTGAAACCGTTCAGCTTCAGCTTGCTTTCTGACTCTCTTAATGGTCATTTTCTGCATTAATTTTTCTTCTCCTGTATGAGTTGTTTTGTTTTATGTTTTTTTCAGAAGAAGACACGCTCTAGGCATGTGGCTAGGGCACTATTGTGTTTTGTCATTTTCAGGCAACGGGGTTCATAACTCTGACTATAAATATTATGAAAATAAGGTCACAAGTCTGGCTATAAATATTATGCACACTAAAATATGTCACGAGTTGCAAAAACGTCGAACAAATATTAAAAAATGTGCTATTTCCAAATCAGATCATTCAAGTTTAAAATAAAATAAGATCAATAAAACAACAAAGTCACAGACACAAACAGCCATTTGAACGTTCGTTCATTTAACGGTAGTTTGGAAAAAAGAGTCTAGATCCTTTTACTCCATTTAGCCCAGAATATTGAAAACAGTTTCAAACATGAAGATGGAAAATGCTGCAAGTAGAAATAATTACTAGTCCATTTCTTAATAACACCATTTATTTGGAAAGTGCAAGCCTGAACTTTTCTTCTTTGTGAAGTAAAAATTCAATTGCGTGTCTTAGGAATGAAGGAGAAAGAATAAGAGAATAATACCCTGAAGATTCAAAGTCACTGAAAAATGCAGTGTAGATTATAGCAGATATTTCCCTAGAAACTAAAGCAAAACATATTCCTAAAAAGAGACACACTACTAGCTGTGCATTAAGAAAAATGAAAATAAATTCTCACAGCCTATTTTAAGGAATGAAAAGAGAAGATAAGCAGCATATGATCGTCAAAATGCTGAGACTGATGAAATTAGTTATGGCTATGAGTGTAAATGTCTGAGTATGTACATGATTTTTGGAATCAAAAAGTTGAAAGGAACTAACCAGAGGCTGCATACGTTTCTTTCCAATAGGATATCGATAAGGATTTGGCGTCTGCATGGAAAAAGCAGTAAACCACAGGATAAAACCAGATAGTAGATCAAGAAGCGAGTCTAGTGTGGACGCAACAATGGCCAATGAACCACTCCTGACAGATGCATAAACTTTTGCTGCAAAAAGAAGCATATTTGCAACATTTGATATCCTGATGGCAATTGTTTCACTTTTAGCCAATTTATCCCTCTCTTCCTGTAACCAAAACAAAATTTTAAATATTTAACCATGGTACCAGCTTATTTACCTCTTGATATCTAACAAAAGATTTCATCAACCTAATGAACAAAGAAAGTCAAATTCAGGTTGTAAAGTTTAAACCTTTGACATTCCCGGTACAGAACCTCTCTCTGCTAGGACATCCATTTCATTGAACCCCTCCAGCATTTCAACCTGTTGCTGATAATACTCTGCAACATTATCTTCTGGACCTGTACCGTCAGGGCAAAAAAAGTGAAATGCCTTATAAGCAGTCCCTCAAATTTGTCAATAGACATCAATCACATATCTTGGCTTCAATCAAATTGATGATAGAATTTCACTAAACATAGGAAATCACAATTAAATTAAAGCCAAAAATTAGCAAAACTAACGACAACAAGTGAACATAGAGGGCTTCCATAAATCAAGTGTACAGAAACAATAATTATCCAAAGTAGACAACCCAAAGCAGTGCAAGTACACGTTAGTAAAGTTGTTTCTATGACCTAGCATTCGAATTCAATACTTGCCAATCAATATTATTTTCATTAACAGCAATCTTGAAAGCAAGAAACGCATCGAAGCCACTCGACAATAATCAACAGAAGTTCTCAAATTTCTCGATAAAAAAAACGATTAAGAAAATGAATTAAAGGAAGAAATTAATAAGAAAGTACATATTGTGTATTAATATACTACTTGTCTTGCAGGCGGATTTAATAATCCAGATACTTCGATCTGAAGATGTTAAGAACATGTACTATACCACTATAGTATTATAATAATAAAATAAAATAAAAAGGAATCCATTTTATTACTCAAAAAATTATTCCATTGCATTTTTAGCCAATAAGATCCCATAAACCCCTTTCGCTGTCCACAATCATTAGATTTAGACCTACCAAAAACTACTGATATTAATGCACATACCGCAACACAGTACAAGAATAGAGAAAAACAAAAAGGTATTCTGAACTAAACCGGCGGCAAAGAATTAAAGAAAGGGAATCTGCACTGTTCGAAAAAGAGTGTTGAAATTCAGCCAAAATTTTACCTAAAACCCCAAGATAGTCATGGAGCCCACGGGGAGGTTTTTCTTTGTGCTCGGTGGATATATCGAATCCATCGAAGTTCAACCGCCATGACTGGTCACCCTTTCTAGTCTCCGGCAGTAAAAGTTGCTCTTCGGAGCCGTCCGAATTTACAGGGTCCATATCCTCGTTCACTCTACACTTGCACTTGAGAAAAATTAAAAAAAAAATCACTTGTATAATATAAAATTGAAATCAAAATGGTAGTGTATGTAAATGTAGCGACAAATAGAAGGAATAATAATTATCTGGTTGCCGATGGCGGAATTTTCCTAACCAGAAAAGGGGGAATTATAGTGGCTCTATTATCATATTATATAATGTAAATATCGTCTGTACTCGCTACTCCGTTGAACTGTTGGTCCACAAATGAAAGTAACTGTGGGGCCCGGCTGACGGTGAGTCCTTCGTTGACGTGGCAGGATGCGATGTTGACGTGACTGATTTGATGGTCGGATACGTGTACAGTTAGGATGAAAACGATCAACGCAAAATCATGAAGAGGATTATCATTTTTGTTATCATTTCGAAAACTGTTATTCTGGGCCACACAACTTCACGGGGTAGTGGGTCCCAACAAAAAATTGATGCTTTGTAAATATTGGGAAACAAATATTACTCAAAAGTAAAGTTATGCCCATGTTCGATCTCCATTTTTGGGTAAAATGTATTGTAAGATTTTTTTGAAAATGTGTGATTAAAAAAAAAAATTAAATACATGTATAATTTTTTATGAAAAAATATGCGGTCAAAAATGAAATCTGAAAAAATAAGATTCAAACAAGGGCTATATTTGTTTAAGTCCAACTAGAAACACTCGTGACCTGTGCACAAAAGAGGTAATAAGAAATGCAATCCAATCAAATCTTACTTTTATCAATGAAAGATAGCATGTCTATGTTAGATTTAAAGGGTGTTTGATATTCATTTTCCTAAAAAAAATGTGTTTTAGAATAGTAGATTGATGAAAAATGTACGGTTTAAAAATTAAGAAATGTAATAAAACTAAAGGAAATAGCGAAAATAATAGAAGAAATAAAGAGTTAAAACTCAATTAAGTATTATTATGAGTCAATATCCTGTATTTATAGGGTCCAAAATAACAGTTACAGTTCAAATAAAATAGATCTTATAAATTAGATAAACACAGTTATTTTAGAGTACTAAAAATGAATGTTGTATTATTAAAATCTTGCTAGGAAAACTCAGTAAGACAAAACCTAAGCGAAGGAAAAAGAGTACAGCTACTCCCCCTGATGTTGATCACTGAAAATCTTTGAGTTGGCGCATTTCAATCTTTTGAACTAATTTCTTAAATGTAGATATTGGTTGTACCTTTGTGAATAAATCGGCCACATTGTCACTTGAGCGAATTTGTTGGATATCGATATCGCCATTCTTTTGAAACTTATGTATATGAAAGAATTTTGAAAAAATATGCTTCGTTCTGTCACCTTTGATATAGTCTCCTATGAGTTATGCAATACAAGTCGCATTATCTCCATACAAAATTGTTGAACTATCTTTGGTTGAAATTAATTCGCATGATGTTTAGATATAATGGGTCATGTTTCTCAACCACACACATTCTCGACCTGCTTCATGAATTGCAATAATTTCAAAATGATTTGAGAATGTTGTTTCACAAATCTCCATGATATAGTTGTTCCTCTACGTGTAAATACATAACATGTTTGTGATTTAACTTTATGTGGATCAGATAGATAACCCGCATTTACATATCCCACTAAAGCAAATCCCGACTTTTGAGAATAAAATAATCACAAATCAATGGTACCCTTTAAGTAACGAAAAATATGTTTAACACCATTCTAATGCCTTTGAATTGGTGTAGAGCTATATCTTGTAAGGAGATTTATAGAAAAAGCTATGTTGAGTCGAGTGCAATTTGCAAGATAAGTTAATACTCCAATTGTACTAAGATATGGTACTTTAGGACCAAGAACTTTTTCTCCATCTTCAAGTGGACGAAATGGGTATTTTTTCACATCAAGTGATCAAACAACTATAGGTGATATTAATGGATGTGCATTATTCATGTAAAAGCGTTTAAAACTTTCTGTATACATAGATTGATGAACAAATAATCAATTTGTAAAATGTTCAATCTGTAATCCAAAATAAAATTTGATTTTTATCAAATCATTCATCTCAAATTCATTTTTCAAATAATCAGTAGTTTTGTTGAGCTTTTCAGGAGTTCCAATTAAATTTAAATCATTAACATAAACTGTCACAATTGCAAATACACTATTTGTTCTCTTTATGAAAACACATGGACAAATATCGTCATTTTTATAACCCTCATTCATATCAAGTAAATCATACAAATATGCAGTTACTACATCCATAAAGCGCATATCAAACTTTTGTGACACAGTCAAACTAATTAAAAATCTAAAAGTGATGGTGTCCATTACGGAAGAATATGTTTCTTCATAATCAATTTCTGATCTTTGTGAGAAACATTGAGCGCCTGGTCGGACTTTGTACCTTGTAATTTCATTATTTTTATTCCTCTTTCGTACAAAAAACTCATTTTGTATCTAACAGAGATTACATTTTCAAGTGTTCGATCTACAGATCTAAACACTTTTCGTTTCTCCAAATAATTCAATTTTGCTTATATGGCTTTTTCCATTTTAGTCAATCATTTCTATTTTAAAAGTATTTAACCGACTGTGGTTCAGGATCCTCATTTTGCATAATATCAAGAGTCACATTAAAGGCAAAAATATTGTCTATAACAACATTATTTCGTTCCTAGAATTTATGAGAAAACATATAATTTATTGAAATCTCATTATTTTAAGATGCTTGTGGTTTTTCAGTAACCGTATCTTCAATATCTGATTGATCAATCTTTTCTGATGTGACTTCTTTCGAAGTTTTTGGTTAGTTTTTCTCATGTACTTTTCTTTTTCGAGGTACAGAGTCTTTTGAACCAATTGGTCGATCACGCTTTTGGCGTATTTGAAATTCATTTGTTACAGCAGATTGTCCTACATGGACATCAATTTTTGTTGGAATATTTTCTGTTGGAACATATGACTTTATCACTTTTCTTGTATTAATAAATACATCAGGTAATTGATTTGCAACTCTTTGCAAATGAATGATTTTTTCAACCTTTTGCTCACATTGATTACTGCGAGGATAAAAATAAAATAGAGTTACTTCAATCCAAATAATTTTACATTGTTTTTCAAGATGTAGTTTCCCCTCCCAAAGTTGGGAAAGTCATTTCAAAATAACATCTGCAAAACATTCAGTAAATAAGTCACCATTTAAAGGCTCAAGATACCTAATAATTGATGATGAATCAAAACCCATATAAATCATAAGTTTTTATTGGGGACCCATTTTAGTACATTGTGGGGGCAAAATAAGAACTTGGACAGCACAACCAAATACCTGTAGGTGAGAAATATCAGGTTTATAACCAATTGCTAGTTGCAAAGGTGAATATTGATAATAGACAGTTGGTCTAATACAAACCAATGATGCAACATATAATATGACATGACCAAAAAAAAAAGTTGGGAGTTTTGTTTTCATAAGTGATAGTCTAACAATAAGTTATAGGTGTTTAATAAACGACTCTGTCAAACCATTTTGTGTATGGACATCGCAATTGAATATTCAGTTACAATCCCGATTGATATACAATAATCATTGAATGCTTGTGATCTAAATTTACCAGTATTTTCAAGACGAATAACTTTTATTGAGTAATCGGGAAATTGCGCTCGTAATTTTATAATTTGAGCAAGTAATATAGCAAATGCTACATTCTTAGTGGAGAATAGGCAAACATGTGACCATCTAGTAGAAAAATCAATTAATACCATAAAATAACGAAATGGTCCACATGGTAGGTGTATCGGTCCACATATATCTCCATGAATTCTTTCCAACAAAGTTGGAGATTCAATATTAACCTTTGTAGTTGAAAGTCTAATGAGTAACTTGCATTGCAAACAAGCTACACATGGATAGTCATTAGGTAAAAAAATCTTTTGGTTCTTTAAAGGATATCCATATGAATTATTTATTATTTGACGCATCATTATAGCTGCTAAATTTTCAAGTCGATCATGTCAAATAATAAAACTCTTTAGGTCAACGAACTTCTGGTTTGTGACATTATTTGATTCAACTATTTTTATAAATATATAATACATGCCAGATGAGAGTGTATAAAATTTTTCTTTTATCTGCTTCTGATCAGAGATAAAAGTGGTTATGTAAAGATATTCAGTATTATTTTCTTGTATCTTCTCAATATGATATTCATTGCAGCGGATATCTTTAAAATTAAGCAATTTTTTTCTGAATTTGCTAGAATAAAGTGTATCGTCAATATATAATTTTGTATTATTTAGTAAAATAATACAAGCTCTTCCGGAGCCTTCAACAATATTCGATGCACCTAATATTGTATTGACATTATTTTCTTTCAATGTTAAGTCCACGAAATATTTTTTTCTTGAAAAATAATTTGTGTTGTTGCACTATCAATCTAGCAGGTGTCTTGACAATCCATCATGAATCTATCAATATAACAAAATAGATATATTTAAAAAAAATTGAATTTAAACTTAAAATGATAAGATAATGAATACTGTGAAATTAATGATGCATAATAATGTTTAAAATTTTTGCGAAAAGTAAAAATATATTTCAAACTAAATTTCTAAAATAAAAGGAAATATTAGAAACATTAAAAAAAAAATACATCACACCACGCTCAATCAAATGATCAATATTCTCATTTGAATCAGCAAAGAAATCAGAGACATCAAAATGAGTCATATCAATTGGACCATCATATTCAGCAAAATTTGTCTCCACTTTTTCCTTTACTTTGATTGATTTTTGATAGAGATCCACAAGGTGTTTTGTCGTATGACAAGTACGTGTTCAATACCCTTTTATTCCACATCTAAAGCAACTTTCTTCGTATACCCTTTTAGGTGTGCTACTTTTGTTTACTTTGTATCTTTTGAAATTGTTGCCTTATTGTTGATAATTTTGTTGATTATTTCGTCCATGATTTACTCCGCGTGCACATCCGCGTCCACGTCTTGATATTGCATTTGTTTAAGGCGATGCAGTACCATTTGTTTCAGGCAATAATACAAAACTAGTTGGACATAATCCATGATTTTTCATTAGCAGTTCATTATTCTGTTCAGCAATAAGTAGGCAAAATATAAGTTCTGGGTACTTTTTGAAACCACGCTCGCGATATTGTTGCTGCAGGAGCACATTCGAGACGTGAAAGGTAGAGAAAGTTTTCTCCAACATGTCTTCATCAGTGATTTTTTCTCCACACAATGTCAATTTTGAATATATTCTGAACAATTCAGAATTGTACTCACTAACAATTTTGAAGTCTTGCAAACAAAAGTGCATCTACTCATAGCGGGCTTTGGGAATGACCATAGCCCTCTGATGAATCTCTCAGTTAATTTTTTCCAAAGAACCTGTGGATCGTTTTCTGTGAGATATTCAATTTTCAGCCCATCGTGAAGATGATGACAAAGGAAGATGAGTGCTATTGCACGATCCTATAGGAATTCTTTCTTTCTTTCTTTTATTATCTCTCCCAAACCTTTTGAAATAAGATGGATATCAGTGTCGAATACCCATGATAGATAATTTTTGCCAGATATATCAAGTGCAGCAAATTTGAAACTCGAGTTTCGTGATGTTTGTTATTTGATTAACTATACAATAAAGAATATACAATTAATTTTGAAGAATGAGATTAAACATCAGATAATGATTAATCAAGTAGTCAATAACCTAAGTTACGTATTTTCCTACAAGGATAAACACTAAAATAATATTTTCTTCAAAACATATGCTATTTAAGGAGCACGTTGTATTTTATTATTATTTCTTCAAGATCAATACGTCAATATTCTTTTGGAATATTGAAAAATATAATTTATACTCTTCAGGAGTGGGTAATATTCTTCAAGAATATTAATTATAATATTGTGCTATTTCAAGAGTATCAACGAACTATTTATAATAGATAGATCTTTGATTAATATTTTTCTAGAACATTAATTATAATATTGTGCTATTTCAGGAGTAACAACATGATAGAATATTAATTTAAAATTTACGATAAAACAACACAAATATGTAATCAAGTTAAAGAATATTAATTACCATGCAATGAAAAAATAAAGTCACCAAATAGATTGGATATGAATATATATTTTAAAATTAATTATCAAACATGTATTAAAAAAAATCTTGAAAAGATATGCTTTATAGTTATTTTTCACCATAAACATATATTTTACATCCAAAAAAAAAATTAAAGAAAGAATTACATAAATTAATACATCCAATGCTACACGTATACATGAATTAAAATAGGGTGTACAATTTTTTTCGCCTCAAATTGACCTAAATTGACATGAATTCAAATTCAAGAATTAAAAACATGCAGTAGTGTAACGATCCGGATCTCTCGCCCAAACCGTTAGCTTACGTACTGTCCGCTTTGGGTGGACTTTATTCCCACTTATCCCTCACGGTTTTTCTTCGCGTCTCTTAGGATTCAAACTTTTGACCTTTACATAAGAGAGACTTAAATTGAATCCTGATACCAATTGGGTGTTTTTTGGTAACGACCTGGACTTCTCGCCCAAATCGTTAGCTTACGTACTGTCCGCTTTGGATGAGCCTTACGCCCACTTATTCCTCACGGCTTTTCTTTACATCTCCCAGAATTCGAACTCTTGACCTCTACATAAGAGAGATTTAAATTGAATCCTGGTACCAATTAGCTTGAATGAGAGGTTCGGGTCATTACAAGTAGTGCCGCATAAAACCATGGATTAAAGATGAATTCATAAGTATCTAATGATTGCTATGACATAAAAACTCAATTGTGTATTATTATGAACCAATGTCCTATATTTATAGGGTCCAAAATAAGAGTTACAATTGGAACAAAATAAATCTTCTAAACTAGATAAAACTTATCCATGTATCATGATAATACTAAATAATCATAAATAATTATTTCATTATTTTACAACAGGAGGATTTTTTTATTTACACTTAATATTATTTTAATAAATTATATGTGGTTAAAAAAAAAAAACTCAATTGTGTATTATTATGAACCAATGTCCTATATTTATAGGGTCCAAAATAAGAGTTACAATTGGAACAAAATAAATCTTCTAAACTAGATAAAACTTATCCATGTATCATGATAATACTAAATAATCATAAATAATTATTTCATTATTTTACAACAGGAGGATTTTTTTATTTGCACTTAATATTATTTTAATAAATTATATGTGGTTAAAAAAAGAGAGAAAAAAATGTATTTTAGGAAAAATGAGAATAAAAAAAGGTATTAGTTAAAAATCAAATTTTCTAAAGATTTTGATTAAATAAAATAATGAAATGTGAGATTAGAAAGTTGTAAATTTTATGAAACCCCTATTTGACCTTCATTCTCTAAGACTCATTTTTCCTCCAAACCGATTTTCAATTACACATTCCATGAGACCCACAACTTTTATCAATATTTCAACCATATTCTTATTGATTTTTATCCAAATATACTAAAATCTGATTTTTAATCTAAATCAAACAAGGACCAAATGTATGATTAAGATTAATTATTGACTTTGATTTTTAACAAAAATTTTAACTAAGCTAAATAGGAGTTATATTTTGTGTTTTCAATTTATGCACATATAATAGGTGATATTATTTTCCTTGATAACTATTTAACGGTGTAATAATTCATGTGTAGATCAATCGACCAATAATAAATAACAGAGTTAAGAGGTGCGTAAAATTTTTGTCATTGTTATATATTAGAAATAATCTCCCACCCATAGTGAGTAGGGGATTATTTCTGTAGTAAGTATTGTCTAGTTTAAATCAACCTAACATTTTAATCAGAAGAGTTTCTTCCTCAACTTACATAGCCCTTGTTTAATTTTGATTATTTAAGAATCACCTCTGTTACAAACTCATTTTAAATAATTTATTCTCCAAAATAAAAAAAAATAAAAAATCAATTTTCATATTTTTTCTAATTTTTAACCAAAAAAAGGGCACTTTCCAAATAATCATTTTCTACTTTTTAACCACAAATAATAATAATAAAAAAGCACTTTTCAAATAATTACTTCTCAGTCTTTATCAAACAAGAGCCTAGTTTTTTAGGTTTTAGAGAATTGAATGAACTAGACTCTTTACTATCTACTAGTGTGGTGAACGTGCGTTGCACGTTAATTGGTTAATATTCAAAATAAATGTAAATAAATTTTAGAGAAATTCATTTGTAAATGTGAAAGATATTCGTAACTTAGTTCAAATGATATTACCCATGGTCTATTTTTATGTATATTTTCAATTCTTCATATGAACATTTATATTAATTGTATTTAACTTTTCGTGACAAATGTATTTTTAACAAAATATAAGCAATGATTAAATGATTTTATTTTATATTAGGTTGTCAATGTTTTTAGCACCTAGAAGCTTAAATGAAGAGTTAGTTAATCATTGCTTGACGCATTTCAGCTAGTTATTTGTTTAGATAAAAATTGTTCGTGTTAGGAAACTAATTACATTAGTTTAAAGTTCTAAGGATGAGAAATTTGATTGTTATTTTTCTCATTTGTAATCTTACAATCTAACAAGAGTACCCACCTCTTAAAACATATCCAATTGTCGAAAAGGTAGGGATTAATCACCCGTAACACCTTGCATACTGAATCATTTCCTCAGGCCATGATTTTGTCTAGCTTCACCTTTCCATGCTTCCTAAGAGTCAACACATTCATTAAGATTATGCAAGGTTTGGCAAACTTTCATGTTCCCTTGGCTCCTGTACGTTTAAGTGTTTCGGAGTAGCTAAAAAAGGGCTGAATGAGAAATTTAGAGAATGATGATTCGGAGATTCATACAATTCTTTAGCCTTGTGTATTTGTCTCTCGTTACATGTTCTCATAAATACAGAAGAGCCAGTCAACTTCTGAGAGGGATTCCCAGAGCTTGTACTTTTGATTGCGGCAAAGGCTGTATTTAAACCATCTTGATGAGAGTGGGTGAGTTGTCCAATTTTACTGCATCTGTAATCTTTACCAACTGCAGGAGCCTCTAGAACCAAAATTATCATCATCCTTTCGATTTTCAACAACTAAAGGATGCATAGCTCCAGTACCATTTGTGACAAATGTAGCATTACGAATCTCTTCACCATGGATCTGCAGGAAAGTTTTATACAGTTATCTAAGAACCACTTATGGCTATCGAAAATAAAATTCAAAATGTGTCATAAATCACCAAAGAATGATATCGAACAGGGAGCGACATTGAAATCCTAAAAATTCAAAGGATAGAAGGATGCAATCGTAGAATCTAATATTTAACTTGGAATCCACATGAATGACCTATATGCGAGTAAAGAGCAATGCTTTTGGCTAAAGCAAGTTTGGCTGAGCAGAAAAGCTAAGGGGGTGTTCTCTTTGTGTTTCAGTTTTGTGTTTTGAGTTTTGAATTCATTTTGAATTTTGTGTTTTGAGTGTTTGTTTTGAAATTATTGAAAATGCGTTCTTTTTGTTAGTTTCTCAAAACAAAAAAAATGATTTTTTTTTTTTAATTTTGAGAATCAACACAACACCACCTAAAAAAAAAAATTAATTTTAATTTTTTTTTGAAATTTTGAGAATCACCACACCACCTCCTCAAAAAAAAAAAAAAAAAAAAATTTTTTCACA